GAACATTTTCCAAGTGTTGACCATTTAAGTCATCATATCAGCGGTGATTTCGCTCGCCAATCAGTCACTTGTGTCAATTGTTCTCTCAAGCAGCAGAATATCTTTCGATGTGCCTTCTTCTCACTTCAGGGGTCACGTGTGACTTTGTTGACTTTGTCCCTGCATAGCTTCATGATGTTGTCGTGTCGTAACTAGCTCGTTATTGTGCTGACGGCCTGTATTAGTGAAGGACAGCGAAGCCTTGGGGACAGTTTCATTACCGCATGCCCTTGGTGCTTTGTGAAGGTTCGCATATGATGCCGCAAAAACAAACACAGCCGTGTACCCATATATTCTCCCATATACTTGGCATACATTGCCCATACTCTCTTTTTTTATGATACCGCCTTTCAGATAAATGCGGGACCAGCGGCCAAGGCTGATAATTATCGTTTATGGTTTTAGATGGCCGTTGAATCGTTAGATTGCCTCTCATTGCCTTCACATCAAGAAACCAGGGAATAAAAATCCAATCTATGTCTTGGACCCCAGACTCACGGCCAAAGTAATGAAGGTGGATTATAATGGCAATTGGTTTTATATTATAAATGTTACAGTGCTCATCTTCTGGGGGAATGGGGGGGATATATATATATATATATATATATATATATGATTCCAGTTCTTTTGCTAAGATTCCAAATAGCCAGCATCAATGTGTGTGTTCATTGACTCAAACAGATTGCTCTTGCGCTGTTGGCAACAAGCATTAAAGTGGCATTTAAAAGAAGGCTCGGTGCTTTAAGCTGCTCTGATTGTGTTGTCTATGGAACATTTGGGAGAGCAGAGCACTGCAATGAAGTTTAAAGAGATGAAGAAGTAACATATGACTTTGTTCCTCGAAAATAATTGACTCCATTTTGGAGAAGCCAACCACTTTGTTGAAGTTATGTTTTGTTTTGTTACTTGTCTGCAGGGCTGAGAAATTGGCTGTACGTGCCCATCACGTATAATATTGCTTTTAAAACTTGGAAAAGCATCTCGAGAAAAAGTCAGACTCAAGTCTCGAATTTCAGAAATGACATTGTACCCTGGTAAATTAATCTCTATGCATATATTCCAAAAGCATGGATAAATAGCTTCCGCATCTGCCTGTGCGAGCAGTCAAGTTTGTGACGTTTTTTTTTTTTTTTGCAATCCGTAAACAGACCACTGAGCACAAAACCGATATCTGACTCAGTGGTCCAAAACACCTGTGTGCCAATCTTCTTAGCGTGTTCCGTGGCCAAAGGATGCTCGGTGTTTGCTTCATGTTTATTCATATCTCCGACTGTGTGTGCACAGCGTGTGTGTGAATAGTCTGACGGTCATAGATAAGGTGGTGGCTATCTTATCAGGCTGAGCCAACCTATCCAAACCCTTAACAGGCCTCAGGTGCCTTTGCGTGTTGGCATTTTTCCATAGCGTCCTTTTATTTTCGTATCAATTTTTGTAACTGTCAGTCTCAGCTGTCGCCGCGAGCACTCAAATTCCGCCTTCTGAGAGGCATTCCAGACTCCATTTCCCTTCCTCTCTTTCTGGCTCAGACCCAACATTTGCCTCCGTGGAACCCTCTTGATCTTTGTCGAAAAATTGACCACATTCAATAATCGTCTTCCCCTGCCCCCTTTTTGTCTTTTACCTCTTTACAGTTTTGTTTTTTTACATCTCCCACCCACACCACCAAGAGTTATGTTTGCTTGTATGATAAAATTTGTGGCAAACAGATTGCACACGGACCTCACAGTGCAGAGGCCGTGGGTTCGATCCGGGCTCCGGCCTTCCTGTGTGGAGTTTGCATGTTCTTCCCGGGCCTGCGTGGGTTTTCTCCGGGTACTCCAGTTTCCTCCCACATTTCAAAAACATGCATGGCAGGCTGATTGAACACTCTAAATTGTCCCGATGTGTAAGTGTGAGCGACGATGGTTGTTCGTCTCTGTGTGCCCTGCGATTGGATGGCAACCGGTTCAGGGTGTCCCCCGCCTCCTGCCCGAAGACAGTTGGGACAGGCTCCAGCACCCCCCGCGACCCTTATGAGGATAAAGCGGATCGGAAAAATGGATGAATGAAAGATTGCACAAAAAAAATATATATTAATTTGTCGAGTTGATGATCAAGATAAAAGCATTGCAAGTTTAGCCACTGATTTAAACTCGACACTCAGGGCACCCTTCGAAATCAACATCTTCATTAGCAATATTTATCGAACCGGGCACACCCCCCATTTGGGTAGTTTTCCTTTCCTGAGAGTGTCCATATTTGCTGTACTGTATATCCCTGAACGGCTCTTTTCCTTTGCTAGTAGTCTTCAACAAAGCAGGATAGGAAACAGAGCAGAGGAGAAGAATTGGAGGACTGTTGGCTGGATTTTGATTGCTTTTTGTTCAGTGTCCTGTACTCGAGTGTCTCCTATGGTGCATTGCCTTGTTGTATCAGTGCATCTCCTTTCTTCCTCCATATATCCTTGTGATGGCCTACTCGACCACCTATTCTGAAAGTATTAAACGGCGTTGGTTGAAGTAAACACTTATTTTTGTGGGGAGTTTTTTTTTCTCTTTTTAAACATATTTAATTAGTGCTTGGTTTTAGTCACGTATATGTAAACATTGATACAAGTGAAGGAACAGGCTCTCATTTGCATTTCATTTGAATTAGCACCTCTCCACGTTGTCTGATGTCGCATTAGTGGATCCGTGATCAAACGATGGGGATTGCTGGCTTTGAGCCAAGAATGGCCCATTTCCAATTTTTTTTTTCTCCACCACATAGCGAACTGTGCTTTCCAGGGTTGGTTTCTAATGAAGCTTTGGTCTCAGGGAAGATACAACAAAATACCACAATCAACTCTTAGAGAGCCCCATTTTACTAGGATTGGAAAACATGGCACACTTATGTCTTACAAAACTCAATTTTGGATCGCAAAGGTGATTTGTTGAGGTTTGTGCCATGCCCATATTTGAAGCCTAATCTCACCTGCAAGCTCTTTTTGTATGGCAACTTCATTAGAAATTCATTGCTTCGTCCAAAAATAAGTCTGCCCTTCAACCAGTCTCCCACGCATGCTTGCAATGGTGCTGTTATGACTATTATGAAACAATAAAGATTAGTACGGATTTTGGCATGTTGTGTAGATGTGTGCCGGGAGTGTAATTAGCCCTGATCTACTTTAATCCCCTCTTTACTTTGCTTCAAAATATTTAGCTTTCATCTTATTTAGATTTTTTTTTTTTTTTGAGCTCGCTATTTTCTTGCATAATAAGAATCCATTTTCTGAATAATTTTAGACCAGCCAATTAATGCTGTCAGCTTCTATACAAGGCATGCGGGATTTGCTTTTGCTGATTTGCTTGTTTGTATTACGTTGCCACGATTTTTTATTTTTATTTTTTGTGCTCTTTGATGCTGTGACCTCTTTATGTCCCGTCAGTGGAGGACTAAAGAAGTGCTGAGCTGTAAAAAAATGATCTGTAATTATGTAAAAAGAGTCTGAAAGAAGTAAACAAGCTGAATATGAATATGTGTTTATCTGTGCATGGAAAGCAGAGATGTAGATACAATTTGTGTTTGTAAATGGGGACATTTGAAAATGAAACCGACATCTGTTTGCAACGTTGGGGAACTGAGAGGTCACAATCACCTCAGCTTTTGGGCATCTTTGGAACAAAAAGCATTTGTCCCGCAGACCTCAGTGAACTGATGGGATTTATGGTAACTGGTGAAATGGATGGGTAAAATCCATCCATCCATCCATCCATCCGTCCATTCATCCATCCTCTACCGCTAATCCTGTTCCGGGTCACGGGTGTGTTGGGCCAATCCCAGTTGACCCCAAAAAGGCAAACACGTATTTTCAGAAGCAATTTGAAGTCATTCATGAAGCTGACATGCATGTTTTTGGAACATGGGAAAAAGCTGCTGTAGGAGGGAGGAAAATCCCAGCATGCTCGGAGAGAATTTCCAAATTCCACACAGAAAGGCCTGATTTGAACACAGAACCTTGACCTGTGAGCGAGGCATGCTCCCCACAAGAGGTGCTGCTCTCCGAACAAAGCGACACAGAGGAAATCCTCATAAGACATGCCTGGGATTTTTGACTTTGAGCACACTGACAGCGTTTGAAGTTTGACTGAATTGGATTTTCTTTCCTCTCTTCAATCTCAAATGCCCAATTTCGGGACTCAGCCCATCTTCCTCTCTTGTAGCTGCTGTCGTTAAACCTCCGCTATTCTGCTGTAATGGAGTTATTTCAGCTTTTATATTCAGCACCAGACTGCTTCATCAAAGTTTGTGACGTGGCTGCAGCAACAGCCGTTTTACAACACGGATGATTTGCCTTGATGTGTGTTGCATGCTAAGCGAGGCTTGTGCGCACATGTGTGTGTGTGTGGGTGCTTGCGTGTGGTAGCAGACAGTGTGGTCATATGCTCACCTATCCCTGACTGCAGACTGATGGGCAGGTGGAGAGAATGGAAGCCAGATGGAAAGAAAGAGGCAAAAAAAAAAAAGAATGTTGAAAGGAGAATTCACAAATGCTTTGCGCTTGCATTTTGCATTGGATCTGTCGGCTTTACGGCTCTTGTTCATTCAGGAACTGATAACGATAAACAGACTGATGAAAACATTACTTTAATAATCATCAAATATTGACGCTAGGGTGGATTATCTTGGACGGGAAGGAACCTCGCCTTAAAATCGATATTATTTCAAGCAAAATGAATGTATTTTTTATGACCCCACCCGGAGGGGTTTTATGGGTTTTCAATGCCAAAATTCAACATTATGCCAGCTTTGGTGTATTTCTGAATGATTTAATTTAATAGGAGGAGATGAAGGCTCGGTTAGGGAAATGGCAAATATGAACGATATTTGAAATGTCAGAACATTGCAAAGCTAAATTTCCGTTTTTTTTGTTTTTTTTTTTGTGATTTTCAAATCCTTTCAAAGTTTTTCGAATGTAACTGACTGTGATTTCCATTCAACAGGGTGAAGAAGAGGATTGTGCAGAAGTTCATCTTCTCCAAGGTAATATTTTTTTTTTTTGGGCGAATATGCTCAAATACGGTGTTGTTTTCATGACTGTCTGCATCATTTTGTAAAATTCGACAGATCCACAGATGAGGATTATAACTGTAGAATAATGACTGTAAAATCCCCTGAATACCATGCACCCGTATATGATTTGCCCAGGAATCGTTGTAAAGTAGTTCCTTCACTGTATTTGTGTATAATACGTTCCCTCGATTTGCTGCTGTCATTTACTAGTGACGAAAATCAAAGAACACTCGAAGCATCCCAATAAAGTACTGTATAAATGCTTTTAAATCCAGATTAAAAAAAAAAAAAAAAAACATACTCTTTTCCTATAACGATGATTAAGGTCTTTCGGGTTTTTTCAAAATCCGGTTTTCAGAAATCTTGTTTTAGCATTGCATGCACTCTTTGTGATTTTAGTAAGCTATTGTTTTAACTTTGCTTTTCAATGTCTTAAATTGCGTAACTGCTTTTACTTTGTAAATGTGATGTCGTGTATGAAATGTGCTATAAATCAGTGATTTTATTATTATTTTTATTTTACAACCATGATTAGGTACTGCTAAATGTGAAAAATGTTTTTATTTTTTTAATTTTTTTTTTTTTTTTTTATGAGACCCCCTCTGTAATACATCTATCCCGTTGTGATATTTTTGTTGATTTTATTTTTTTATGTGTTATTCACGCGATTTTACGGTACAAATTACTTGAATGCATTTTTCATTATTGTTGACTTCAAAGCTGTAGCTCATATTGAAGCCGTATAGGAAACAGTTCTCAGTGTGATTCAAACATTGCAAAATACAGACGTATTTGAGCATAGAGATTTTCACACGGTGATGTCAGCTCAGTACACTGCTTGACTTCCCGAAAAAAAAAAAAAGCATAATTTGATGCAAGAGAAAGTCTTAGCGAGAGTTGGTCGTGACCTCCACGGGGCCGTCAGTGTGGTGTTCTCTGCCTCTGCGTCTGTCGCCTGTCTGTGGCCGTATTTTGTGACCGTGGTGACGTGCGTGTCAGTGGTAGGCGGCTTGATGTGCATGTGCGTGTGCGTATGCGAGGAAGCGGATTCAGTGAAGGCAGATTGAGTTCCTCTCTCCAGAAAACATGCGCATACACCCCCACCTGTCCACTAAATACCCCGACAGAGTGGATGCACATGTAGCGATATATCCAGATTCCAAAGAGGCCAAAGCCATACCTTCATTATGACACCTCAAACTATAAGGTTACGTACAGGGACGTCTGCGACCGCCACAATGCTTTGAACATAAATGATCGGTGTTTATTCACTTAAAGGATAGCTCGAACAGATGTCACTCATTAAAGATTTACAACAATGATAGTTTTTTTTTTTTTGGTATTCATATTTTAGATGAACATGACTGGTTGAATCAAAGTATCAAATTGCTGCTTATGCAGCTACTGAGGGAAGATAAATGGAAATTTTAAATAGTGTGCTGAAGTTGGCTGGCGTTAATTTGAGTTTGCAAAGAGTGAAAGTCAGTTGCTTGCGCGGATGGTTGTTCGTCTCTGTGTGCCCTGCGATTGGCAGGCAACCAGTTCAGGGTGTTGCCAGTCAATCGCAGGGCACACCTACACAAACAACCATTCGCGCTCACTATCACATTTAAGGGCAATTTGGAGCTTTCCACTGACTTCCCATGCATGTTTTTGTAATGTGGGAGGAAACATTATTTATTTATTTATTTTTATTTTGCTGGAGCTCAGTCTAGTTTTAAAGGTCACATTCGGAAATTCACAGTTCTCTGTCACAGTTATCTCTACTGATAATTATAAAACACACACATGTGAAGCATAATGTAAGTAAAACCATTTGACTATATATATATTTTTTTTTTAGTGTGCGATGCTTCATGTCCAAATGAAATTCTGACATTTCATGTGACTGACATTCCACTTATTGTGTGGTAGAAGACAATCTGACGAACCGAAAGGGCAATTTCACAACTAATCCCCATTTTGCCTTCAAAGACTGAACTAAATACCACTGAAAAATGAGAAGCTTGTACTCTTCATCATCTCTTTTCTGTGTGCCATCGCAGCTCTCTTATTAGCATTCAGGTCAGAAAAGTGCTTTGTAGATGACTCAACGTGTCAACTGTACAAGTGTGTACGTACATCTCTTGCCAATGTGTGTCTGTGTGTGAGGTCGCTAGTAATGTGAGTGTGCGCTTTGATCCCTCAGTGTCGCCATGTCACCCTAATCAGCGTTTCACAGTCAGTCTGTGTCGAGTTCTCAGCATTCAAACACACAAATGTGTGTTTGGACGGGGATTTGCGCACATTTTTAGTTAAAATCACATTTCAACGTTTTTATCAGATTCTCTCTCTCCTCCTTTCTCTCTCTCTTTCTCTCTCTCTCTCTCTCTCTCTCTTTCTCAAGGAGTTGTCTCAGTATCACAAAGTGCAATAGAGAAATAGAACAAGCCAAGCGAGGGTACTGGGTACGATGAAGTAATGTGAAGTCCCAGTACACGATAAAAAGTCCCGGTACACTAGAATTGAGAAGTGCCATATACACTGTAAGTATGTGTACCGGCGTGTGTGTGTGCGTATGCCGGATGCGTCAGGAATGGCATCCGGCGTAAAACTTTTGCCAAGACGACCATGCGAGTTGGTAGGACGGTTTACAGGGGCGGATGGAAATTACTGACTCGCTGTGGCGACCCCTGAATAGGGACGTGCCGAAAGGAGAAGAAGATATATATATATATAAAAATGAACATTAATTTGATCATACAACTTATTCCCATTAAGAAATATTCAAACTCAGAAAACGTGCTCTGCTCGGGCTGAAAATGCGTTT